CCATTCTTCTGTTTGCTATTCCATAGGCTGTTTCCAATCTGTCTCGTACCTTACCTATGTATACATCATAGTCTTCATGCTCGTCCTCTGTGTACAATTCGAACATTACATGTACCGCAAGCCGGGAGGCCCTCCTGAACATTAGGTAAAAGGGGCTGTATCCAGTGGATTCGTGCACAGTGCAATTATATGCGTGTACTAATGAAGACACATGGGCTTTCCAGTTTCCTTATGTTCACAGTACGCAATATGTTTATCAAAGTTCTATGGAACCGTTCAGTAACTGCATTTCCCATTGGATGATAAAGACTTGTCTTAGACTTCTCCACACTAAGTGTATTATATATTTGTTTTATTTCCTTACTCTTGAAGTTTCGCCCCTGATCGCTATGCAATCTCAACTGAAACCCATAATGCACCATGAAATTGTCATAAAGTACCTTTGATTGCCCCTGATCGCTATGCAATCTAAACTGAAACCCATAATGCACCATGAAATTGTCATAAAGTACCTTTGCTGCTGTCTCCGCTGACTGTTTCTTCATTGGTATCGCCCATGCATATTTTGTGAACACATCCGTAACTACTAAGATGTTACTTATCTTTCCCCGTGATTCTTCTAGCCCTAAAAAATCCATAGAAACCAATTCCATGGGCTGTGAAGCAACTAAGTGGTTCATTTGAGCTCTTTCATGTAAAGGTGGGTTCTTCCCAAGCTGACATATGACCTACAATTCTTTACTTTGTTTCTCACAAAGTTAGTCATACCTGGCCAAATAACCCAATCTTTTAAAGTAGAAAGTGTTCTATCTCTACCCTGATGTCCCATATCATCATGACAAGTAGAAAAAATCTATTTTGCCAAGATGTCGGTATTACCAACCGATTCCCGTGATACAAAACGTCATCTCTCACCCTTAAGCTTCTCCCAGGATCTCCGGAAAAGCTTCATTCTTTCTGAATGAGGAAGGTCTTTTAACTCACCTGAAGTACCAATCACTTCCAATAATTGGGCCATTCTCGGGTCCTTCTCTGTGTCCTCCAATTTCGTGGTCGTACGAATGGGGATTTCAGGGGGAAGGGTTGTCCAAACCTATGCCAGGGACGTTCTCGGGTCCTTGACTATCTCCTTCCTATTCGTAATTGTGCAAAAAGGGATGTCATGGTCACAAGGAGGGTGTACAAGCCACATAGGTAGCTTTCCGCACTTATATTTACGCACTCGTTGGCAATACTTGACAAGAAGAGTTCTGATGCTGCCAATGTCGTAAAAAAGTCTTTCTCAAGGTGCATAATGAGCACTCCGTGTATCTTCACATTACCAACAATTGATACGGCAGTAAATGACGATCTTTGGACTTTGAATAGTCTGAAAGTATACAGAGTTAATGAACAGAGTTATTGGCTGAATTATGGTATCGGTATCGGTATCGGAATAGCAGTGCTGGTCATTACAGTTGTTACTTCGTCTCACCTTGGTAGATCCCAAACCAAGAGGGCACAACAGTGAAAATTCTTCTGTTACATATGCACCTGTTATATATGCATAGAGAGAAGTGAGAGGTTTTCTTCCAATTACTTAGTAAGCAAGTTATAACCCATTGAAACTTATTATTTTTATAGGCTCTTTCTCAGCTTGTTTGGAGAGGTCCCATTGGTCTTGTGGAGCCATTTGAAGTGTTCAGTTCCTGCCTCGGTGCTGGACTTTTACCCAAGAATGTCGAGCTGGCCGCTAGTAACTTGACTGCAGTATGTATATTTGTATATATATGTGTGTATATATATAGCTTGTGTTTGTATAGTATGCATGTGCATATGTTTTCAAGAATAAGGGCAATGTTTTACTTGATTGCAATGCCTTTGATTTATCAAGTGTCACATTTGACTAAAATTTTGGTCTGGTGTGTGTGCGTGTGTGTCTGTGTGGTCTGCAAAAGTATGGCATGCATATTTATTGTATGTATAGTATTCATATTTATCATATGTATATGTATAGTGTGCATTTGTATAGTAAAAATATGTATAGGATGCATATGTTTCCAGGAATATGTGCAATAGATTATTTAATTGGAATGTCACCTATTTATCTTAGGTCAAATTTGATAAAATTTAGGTTTTAAGTTTCTTTGTGAAACTGATGAACAAACATTTGTTTGAAGAGTGAATGAGATGTGTTTGTTTACATTGCAGCAAGCACAGAGAGAAAACTTGCTGTCTGTTGCCCTTAACCATGGTGCCGCAGGGTTCATTACATCGTGTGTCTCCCAGTTTGCAGAAGGAGGTAGGAAAGTGATGTAATGAGGCGCAGAGACATGTCTGTTAGTCCTTGATCTGTTAAAATTAGCTATTGAAATATCATTTTTGTCTCAATTTCTATTCACCTAATTTTGAGATATGTTAGTCTTGGAATAATATATATTTGATTGGTTACAAGAAGTTGAAAAACATGTCTTTGACCTTTTTTCATTGATTTGAATCAATTTTTTTTGTTTTCTTAGTTTTCACATGAGAATACAATTAGATATTTTGTGAAAGTTTTTAAGTTTCTTGTATGGATAACAAAGTTGAGTGACCTATAAATCATCATGACATCATTCCAGAGTTTGTTCATGCAGGATGCACCTTGCGGTTTATTCTGGACTGGGCTTGGGGCAAAGTGGCGCAAGTGAAAGACTCATTGGACAAATTGTGTAAGTATTCAGATATTTATTTATTTATTTATTTTATTGTCGTTGTTGTCTAACCTTCATCCCATAATGTTTTCAGACTACTTTGTTATTGTTTTTCTTTGCCAGATTGTTATTTCCATGTATTTATTAATCCCCTTTCATTTATATTAATTTTTTTCTTTGAAAACCCTCGTTTTATGAACCACCACCTCTCTCCTCTCTCAGGTGTGCCTTTGTATGACTGTTCGGGGATGCCCTTAGAGCAGCAGGGGCTCCAGTTGTTCCACCAGCACCAGCTCCAACTGACCAACCTGCAGACCATTGTCCAGGTGCTGATGACCAACTCTGGACCCTCTACTAGCCAAGGTAAGTACTTTTTATATACTTTTTTCACTCTGTACAACAGTCACAAAATGCACATTACTATAACAGATCATTTACAGCACAAAAGGGACACATTGACACTGTCACCTATTACAGAGGCAGTGCCACTTCATTCTGAACAATCTTTTGTGATCAAAACAAATGATCTCATTTTAAATTATTGTTTTTCTTTTTATCAAAAGCTTATAAAATATGTGGGTATTACCTCCAATATTTCTGTGACTGTCAGTCACCATCACCTCTGCATCCCTACATTCCATACATTTAAATTGATACATACAGAGCTAATAAAACTGTTCTCTCAAATGATCTTATCTTATTTGAAGAGAACCTACACACAAATAAATTGCCATCACATAATTATGAATTATGTTTATATTATTCCAGGTCTTGGTGACTTGGACATGAAGTTCAGGGTGGTGACACTGATAAACCAGTTCTACCAGGCTGTGTCTTGGTGCCTTAGTAACAACTTACTGCCAGAGTTTGATGGTATGTTTGCAGTTAATCCTGAATTGAACTTTTTGATTACAAAACCATGTTTTCTTAAATTTATAAAAAGAATGATTGTATTTGATATTTATTTCTCTCTCTCTCTCTCTCTCTCTCTCTCTCTCTCTCTCTCTCTCTCTCTCTCTC